AAGATAAAATTTCCTATTGTAGAGGGAGAAGAAAATAAGTTATTCTTCTTTTAATAAGAAAATTACCATTTACACGATAGGGTTGGGTTATTTGAAACACAATTCCTTGCAGCCGCTTCTCATGGACTGTGAGGTTGATTTGTCCTGGGAATGCCAAAACCGAAGCCAAGAAGATTCAGGTGAACGTTAAGCTGAAGTATGATTGATTGGTCCCTGGAATTTAGCATAATTATGGCATTTCTTCTATCCCAAGATTAATATTTTAAGAAAATAGAAAAATTAGGTAAACCATTTAAAAACATATACCTTTCCTAGGCAAATACAATAATGTCAAGCAATAGTGGGCTTAAATACCAGGGAAAAAACCCAGACTGGTCGAAATGCAGACCAACTGAAGAGCCTGTCTGATTTGACCAGACGTGGTACCCAATTCCAGGAATTCAGTTCAATAGCATCATTTTTTAGGTATGTGTTCTGCACCATTTGCTGGAAAAAATACCGGCATTTTCCCAATGAAATGGTGTTACTTGAAACAAGAACTAGGAGCATGTATAAATGGAGGCATTCCTCTTAAGAAGGTGGACCTTTAAAGCCATTTTCTTAATATTGTTCAGTGTGATCTTCCTTCATGGGGACGAAGAGTATGCTGACCATTCAGTAGCAGTGCACTATTAATGTCATTATGAATCCATTAGACATATTCAGGTGAGCTGAGTAACAGCCTTGTGACCAAATTCTCTTTCTCTTACTTTTAGCGGAACATTTCATAGAACACAAATTGCTCTTTATTTATTTTTTGTCTATGGTAAAAATTCTAAGAAAAGATAAAAAGTGCTCTCCTTTGCCCTTGGATATCAAGAGAAGTATTGGATGCAGTGAATTTTGAGTATTAAGTTGCTGCCTTTGTGTCATTTATTATAATAACCAGTAAAGCACAGCTATATCTGATAAATCTACCAGCAGTAGTTATTGAATCTAGAATATTCTACCCTAAGAGTAAAGTTGAGGGGGAGGGATCTAATGCTTAACGACAGTACGCAGTTTCCATTGTCTTTGGAAGTTTGATGTTCCTTCTATAAAATGGTGTAAAACACATGCACACACATGCGTATAAACAAATACACTCATTTGTAAAAGGGAGAAGTAGCACGGTTGCAGTAGAACTGATTTTCGTTTGAACATTATCCTTGGAACACTCTAATATGCTGCTGTCCCAGCTGACTTCCACCTGCCTTTCTTTGCTCAGTGGCTCTCTCTTGCTATTGAGGCCCACCTTCAGCTGGTAGCACATACAGGAGAATAAACACCCTTCTCTCCCAGTAGCACTCAACCAATGACTCACAGCTGGAGTCCTTCCATCAGCTGCCTTAACCCTGGAGTAGGGTAACCCTGAGGGGTGTGTCCTACACTGGCTGCCAGAGTCTCTCCCGTGGGAGGAAACTCCAGTCACTCACAAAGGGAGCTGGTTCTATCGGCTGCACTGTCACATTTCCACACTCACCTACTCATGAACCCTTCACCTCCAAAGTAAATTACTGTCACTCAAATCCTTGTTTCAGGGTTGGCTTCTGCTTCTGGAAGAACCCAAACCAAGACATACGCCAAACATATGACTTTTAACTTAATAAACCCTGGAATATTTGCTATTTTAACTCAATCCTTAGGTCTAAATTACAAACTTTCCTTCTATAAACCTTTTTTATTGTGGTTCCATGTTATTTAAGTACTTATAGTGATCTACACATATAATAGATGAGCTAAAAATGTAGTAATGAAATGTAGGTATATGTCTACATTAAAATTACATCAGCCTATTTAAAATGCTGAATACACTTTGAGTTAATTTTTTGTGTGGTGTAAGATAATAGTCTACTTTCATTTTTTTGCATGTGGCTGTCCATTTTTCCCAACACCATTTATTGAAGAGAATTTCCTTCTTCCATTGTATGTTCTTGGCTCCTTTGTTGACAATTAGCTGACCATAGACATGTGGTTTTATTTCTGGGCTCACAATTCAGTTTCATTGATCTGTGTGTCTGGTTTTCTGCCAATATCATGCTGTTTGGGTTATTACACCTTTGTAGTATACTTTGAAAGATGTTTGACATCGCTAATTATTAGGGAAATGAAAATCAAAACCACAATGAAACATCACCTCATACCCATCAGAATGGCTATAATTAACAAGACAGTAAATAACAAGTGTTGGTGAGGAAGTGGAGAAAAGGGAACCCTGGTACACTGTTGGTGGGAATGTTGGTGCTGGCACTATGGAAAGCAGTGTGGAAACTCCTAAAAAATTAAAAGTAGAAATACCATATGATCCACTTATTCCACTTCTAGATATTTGTCCAAAGAACACGAAAACACTAATTTGAAAAGATATATGCACCCCTATGTTCATTGCAGCATTATTTACAATAACCAAGAGTTGAAAACAACATAAGTGCCTGTCAATGTATAAATGGATAAAGAAGATATGCCATACATATATAGAGAGAGAGACACACACACACAATGGAGTTCTACTCAGCCTTAAAAAAGATGAAATCTTGCCATTTGCAACAATGTGGATGGACCTTGAGAGTATTATACTCAGCAAAATAAGTGAGATGGAGAAAGACAAATACTATATAATTATACTCATGTAGAAGATAGAACAACAACAACAAACAAACATGTAGATACAGGGAACAGATTGGTGGTTACCAGAGGGGAAGGGCATTTGGGGGAAGGCAAAAGAGGTAAAAGGGCACATTTGTGTGGTAACAGATGGCAACCAGACTTTGGGTGGTGAGCACAATACGGTCTATACAGAAGTCGAAATATAATGATTTACAGCTGAAATTTATACAATGTTATAAACCAATGTGACCTTAATAAATCAATCAATAAATAAAATACTGAATTTACCATTAATATTGCCAGTACAACGGTATTTTAATAATGGTGATGCTATCCTTGTAATGTTTTGAAAGAAGTCACAAAAATAGCAGGAAGTGTTTCTGCTTGATATTTATTGAAACTCTGCAGATACCAGTCCATCAATCTGTTAATCTTCTGGCGTCTATCCACAAGGTAGAGAGGCAAAGTCAAAACATTTTCCTTAACTTTTTTTTAACTTTAAAAAGAATGGGCTCCTTGGAGTCTGTTGGTCACCAAATCCGTCAACCGTCTAGGAAAATGACTTCTTTCATGGCTCAATCAAAGCCTCATCTAAAATTCAGAAGAAATCTAAGACTTCAAGCTGCCATCCCCACTCTCGTTTCCATGGGAATAGACTTCAGACCAGGAAAAAAAAATGGATGGGGTTAGGAGTTTTCAGATAATCATTCAAAACCATGATGGGGTGTTTAGAGCTTCTTTCTTAGGTGATTGTTTTGTAGCCTCTTAACCCCTTTTTGCTAGTCTGTTTCCATGGAAATGTGACAAAATGGCTGTGAAACCTCCAGCAGAGATTATTGGCATTCTTGTGAATTTCAGCTTTGGCTGCAGTCTAGGCTGGGCAGTCTTTTGTCTCTCAATTTTACATATTAACCTACACTGTTTCCACTCATTGTCATTTTTCTTTCTAATTTTTACTTTCTTTGAAAATTCCTTTCGCAAATTTATACCTATGATCAAGATCAAACGGATAGTGACATCACTGAAGAAGGCTTCAGTTTTAAATTTTAATGTATGAACCAGGACATACAACTGCAGAGTGTCAGAACGTTTAGCAGCTTGCAGAAGGAAACATTTAGTTACTGGACTCAATGTCTGTTAGATAGGTTTTGGTAGATAATGCAACAAAGGTGGTATTTAGAATAGTTAGCACCTGGTAAGGCATGCACCAACTGATCAGAGGAGCTGGTTTGTACTAGCTAATTAGCAGCCCTATTATATAATAACCAATAAGTTGCTAAACTAAAAGTATCCCTATATAAAATGGATAGCATTATATCCAAATAGATTATGCAAGGTCACAAACTGAGCTCTTATAAAACTTACAAAAGAGCTTGCAATAAAAACTGGGTAGAAATACTCAGCAATCCACCTTTTAAAAAATCAAAGTGCATATGCTGGCATCATCTTTCACATGAAGGTCATTTGAAAATCAAAATCACTCTTATTACTGAAGACATTATGCTACAAGATTGAGAAAGAATATCTATGGGTCTTTGATAGAACCCCTGGCAAGATATCTTGTGTTGAATGTGAAAAAAATAACAGCATGCTACATACATAGTTTTATTCTGTCCTACCCTCTGAATTTTGCTGCACAGTTCAATCTACAATTTTTGCTAGGGGGAATCTTGAAGTTCTGATTGACCTCATAAAGTACTTTTATTCTTCAGAACTCTCTTACTATTCTATAGTTGGAGACTTTTACCTATAAGTAAGTATAGGACTTATAAGTCCTATAAAGACTTGTCCTTTGAATTGAATTGGAAGAAGTAAATTTTCAATGGGTAATTATCTGGCTTAGGTAGGTTCCCAATTTAAATTTACGACTAACTTACTTACCATAGAAACTAATCTTGATTGATGTTTTCAACTAGATGGATTGCCACAATAATAAAATAAAGCAGTCCAATTAATTTTCCGAATCACCATGGCTCCTTGCAAGCGCAGTTTGCTGTAACAGTAAACAGCCCCAGAGGGCGGCTTTGTCCCGCAGGCGGAAACCTACCTTCAGGTGTTTGTGGAAATGAAGTTTTACTGGAACAGAGTAGCATCCATTCCTGTGTTTTGTTTGTTTGTTTAATTGCCTGTGGCTGCTTACCTACTAAAAGGACGGAGTTCAGTAGTTGCCACAGAGACCACACTGCAGGAAAAGTGTGGCTGTTTATTCTCTTGTCTTTTAAGCAAAAGTTTGCTGACCCTTGCTCAAGCTTTTAACTATAAGATTATACTATTTCCAGAGAAGAAATTTTGTAAGTAGTAGAGGTTTTTTTGAACTCTGCAAACAGTCTGTTAGTACTGACCAAAAATGTGATTACCAGAGTGTCTGTACTTACATCCATAAACTCCACATTGGCTTTGGGACCAGTTGTTTCATTAAGAATCTTAATAGCTACAGGAATCTTCACTGTTTCTCCTTCAGGGACCCAAATACCCTATGCGGAGAAAAAATTCCCATTAAATCTATATTAAGACATATACAACATATATACCAGAAACAAAATTTGAGTCAACCACTCAGTCTATTCATTTCTTAAAAAATAATTTAGAAGTTCTATATTTTTTATTCAATCAACAAACATCTATCAAGCGTCTATCATATGTTACAAGTTACTCGGCAATTTTGCTGTCTGCTTTCACTATGAGAGGATGAATCATATATGTATTCTGCTTTCAAGGTGTTCATACTGTTATAAAATTCAATTTGTGTGCATGACAAAGGCTTTGAATAGTGAAAAAAACATTGAAATAAGATGTAATAATAACATTTGATTTGGATGATATCATCAACTTCTCAAGACTTTCAGAAGGGTGTCCCAATGTTTGAACTTCAGTCATCTCATTGGTCATTTAGGACACTGGGCTCAGTAATGGCGGAGGCTCTTTTCAGCTTTAGTATTAGCTAAATATTCTGCAACTAAAAATATATAAGCAAATAAAAAGACATATGCTCACATTCCTGAAGTTCATATTGATTTGAGAACTCATTTTTCTAAGGTAATTATTTAAGAATTACTTTTCAAAGGCAAGTTCTAGGGAGTATTGAGCATGTGCTAATTTATCTGTGTTATTAAATACTGTGTGTGTGTCTCAAGGATTTTATTATCTCTGAACTAATATAAACTATTTATATTGGTCATTGCTACTTCTCTCTTCCTATATAAATATAATTATAATGTCTGAACAGATCTCTGTATTGGGAAAGTATGAAGTGGGCAGACTTGGATTAAAGTACAATAGTAAGCTAAATAACAGCATTTCTGGGTAAGCAGTTCAACCATTTGAATAGGACAATGATTTTGATAAGACATCAGGGATGCATAGACTATATAAGAATGCTTTTTTAAAGCATATTGTCTCAAATAAACACAGAAGCAAATATGAGGTTATATACCAAAAAATAAAACCTTAAATTTTAATTTATTAGCCCTGACATCAAAAAAGTCTTCTCAGGCTAGTTTTAACATTAAAATGAAAGGAAGAAAAAAAAATAGTCTGCTGTTCCTGAACAGAACATCTCCATTTCTTGTCTTTCTTAATATCAGCTGGTTGTAGTCATAAAGAAAAGATAAAGTTTTTCACTTTGTTCTTCTATGTGAAAACATGTATTTGTGCTACCCAAAATCATAATAACATGAGACATAAACACACGAATTATTAAAAAATCAAAATAATAAAGAAAAAAAGACTTTAACCTTTAGAAAGTAAATTTAAGGGTTCCTGTTAGAGTGACTAGCGAAATTTATGTGTCAAATGCAAAATAATAAGCCAAGTTCCCTGTGCCATAAAATTTTTTAAAAATTTATTAATGCAGAAATGGGGAAAAAACATAGATGCGTAAGCTGCATTTTCTCACTGAAGCATCCAGGGTGGTGAACAGGCTCACCATCGTTCAACAAAATAACCACCGAGGGGTTACCTTATAAAGATGAGCATCAATATTAAAATATTCCTAATGTATACTTTTGAAATAAGAAATTACATTCAGTGCGAATTAATTTGAAACGCTTTTAAAATAAGTATAGTCATTATTTTCTAGGCCCAACCAGACAAAAATTCAACTGTGCTGATACTCAGGACATTGTTTCAAATCTTTTATGTTTAAACACAGCATATCTCCCACCAGGAGAAAAAATTAACCAAATAATTGGCTAAGCAAATTTGCATTTCTATGGTCAAGAATAACTTTTTATAGTTTAAGACAGTGTGTCCTTGTAAGAACTGATACATTAGTTAAATTTTAGGGTCAACCATACACACTGCAAGCATAAAATTCAAGCATACTTATGGGACTTTTAATAAACTTTCAGTACAAGTAATTTCAATAAAGGTATAACACTCATAACAACAGGCAAATAATTGTCCTTAATAAAAATATGAATAAAGCTTTATTATTAAATGTTTAAATGAGTAATATTTTTCTCCGCTGAGGTCACTAGAGTGTATTTCAGTCCTGAGTTATGTGGTTTCCATGATTTTAAATAAAATTCAATTTCCAGACCATATTATCTGTAAAAACATAAAGGTAATTATATGCTACCAGCAATCCAAGATTGAGTTATCTTTACAATGGAAGTCTAGCATAATATAAATAAAGATAGGATAAGTTGTATTTCTTTGAACATACAAAGAATTTGAAGATTAGGAGTCACTAAGTCAGCCTAGAATAGTTTCTATTCAAATTAGGTGCTCAGTTAACAATTTTAAATTTAAATAATAAAATATGCATACTAAGAGATAAAGAAACTTCTGCCTTTTGACCTTCCAATAAATCAGTTTTATTTTAAAGAGATTAGATTGTTTTTGGAACACTCAGGAGAGAAAATTAAGGTTTATATTCTAGCTGTTAATATTTTGTGTTAAATAAATCTTTGCTTTAAACAGGAAAAAAAAATGAATATTTTAAAATGCAAAATTCCTAAGATCCAACCTATTTTAACAGATTTGTTTGTAAAAATGTAGGCTTGCATAGAGCTTTGGGAAATATATAAAACTTCCAAAGTAAATTTTGGGAATTATAGTAATGGACATTACAAGAAGGATTTAGCACTAAGCCAGCAGAGTTTCTTATTCTTGTTATTTACCATCAGAAATAAATTTCACCACAATTAACCTTGAGCCTGGCCTCTGAATTGGTTTTGTAACTAAGCTGAATAAGTAAACATGCAAATGCCATCATTTCAGCTTTCCCTTTCCAGAAACATCTCTCTTATAGACAACTCTTGATGTCACCTTCTCCTTCGATCTGACTTGAATTTCACAAAGTTACTTTTTTAGTTTGCATATAGTGGTGAGGACATTAAAACCAGAAATTATCTGTTAAACCATATATGTTACCAGGTAGGCAACAAGTGGGTTGGGAATTATCCTACACTAACACTGCATCCGCACATTTGAGATCTGCTAATAGGGTCCTGACGGGGAGACTTTTGGAAAAAGGAGCAGAAGAAAAGAACCACAACGGATTATGGCTCACTGCTCAGGCATCTCCGGGATTTCATAGAACACTGTATAAAGGGAAAGAGAAACTGGTTGCAACTGGGCAATTTGGATTAGGACAAAATTTGCTGAAGGGCAGATGATATTGAAGGGGGCTCAGAAGATCATTGAGAAAAAGAACCAGTTTTTCCTTCCTGCTTTTTCATGACTGCCTTCATCCCAGCTCATTCAAAAATATTAAAGAATTCATTTGTGCAGCAACTTCTCAATAGTGTAAAGTTTCTCTTCTCTGAATATTCAGAGGAAGTGAGGTTGGCGGGAGCAATAACTCTAGCTGTAGTCCAAAACAAGTCTGAAACAAAACTTAGAACAACTGATGGCATATGTTATTTTTTACTTACTTTATAAACAGTTCCAAAAGCACCCGAGCCAAGTACTTTCACTCTTTTGAGCTCAGTTTCTTTCAAAATGCGAAGTTGAGCTTGATTGGGGGCTGTGCCACTGGGAGTTAAGGGTTCTACCAGCTGCAAATCAAAAAGAATACAAGGTTATATGACTCAGTCCGGCAATGAGCAGCCCTCCTCTTCTCCTGTTCTTTGCTTGAGAGAAACAAGTAACAATTGTGCACCTACCTTGAGGCAAACTAGGCTGGGAGATGATGTTTTTTGTTTTCTACTTGGATAGAAGTTTAGAGACTAATTAGGAGCTCTGAATTCTACCTTTTCAAACCCCTTTCTTTTTGGCATCTTCAGTTAAGACTTAGATTTTAGTTATTTCAGCATACTCTATCCAAGTTTTCTTTCTCGTTTTAGGAGATTTGATACATTAAAAAAAAAAAAAATTGCTGCTTTCTTAGCACTTAAAATCTACCTGGGAAGCCAGGAGAAACATGTCAGAAAAGCGAAAAATAGTTTATCACAGTGCCAGTACCCCAGGACATTGCTCCCAATGCTTCAGTGTATGTATAAGTTACCTCAGGATTTGGTTAAAATGAAGATTCTGGTTCAGTACTGCTGGAGTGGGGCTGAAATTTGCATTTTTACAGAACTGCTGGCGATGCCCATGTATGCTGATGGACCCTGAACACATTTGAAGGTAGCAAGTTCCTAGAGTACCTTCCATATCAAAAATTCTACAATTCCATGACTTGATTCTAGATCATAAGTGAATGCTATGGGATGCAAAGGAATAAAATAACCCACGGGAGAGAGGTTCCCCAGTTTTGTCTTCTCAAAGGAGGTACACTGTAAGACTGGTCTTGAGATGATAAAAATGGATTGACATGGTGGAAGGCACTGCCACCATGAAGAACAGCTTGGACAGTGTCAGGGAGAAGAAAGAGGATGCAAAGGGGAACACAACAGCGAGAGGGATGCGACTGGAGGATGAGATGAGGGTGGGAAACATCAGATGGTGCGGTGGGCTGAGTTTGGCCAAAACAGGTAAAATTAGGTTAATAATTTAAGATGTCATAGTTTAGAGATGATTCAGCCAGAGAGGGTCAACAAGCCAGGGAAAGACATGTAAACGTATGCCAATCCCTTGCTCATGCAAGAAAAAAGAAAATGTAGACATGAAAGAAATTCTGGGTACCAAAGTCTATGTCTTACGCTACGATTTTAGGTTTTTATCTGTGCTTGAGGAGAAAGGTGAGTGAGCAAAATAGGAGTTTCTCTTTTTAGAGTTAAAGGAACTAAACTTTAAACACGGACAAATAGCTTGTTCTTTCTCAGCATAAGGAAATAATTAAGGGCAAATCCTACTCAAATTGTCTTGAAAACCACCAAATATTTCATGTGGCTGTTTACAAGGCTGAGTGCACTGTGGCCCTCCAGCTTCCTTATTATCATCCTGCTTCTGTGCACATCACAGTCTACCTAATTAGCTGAACAGTCTGGAATACAGGTAAGTGTAGCGACACGTAGTAAGAATTTGGGGAAGAAGATGCTAAAAATTATCCATAAAGTTAGGCAATTTCCTAAGAGTTTGACAAGTAATAGGCTTCTACTTCATTTTCAAATTTATATTGTAAAAATGTATACAACTGCATTCAAGTCACATAAAAGAAATCTCAGAAAGAATCACACAATTCTTTGTTAAATCTGAAAAAGAATCTCCTGCAGAGATTGCCCTTCATTTGAATCCAACACTGCCGTGAAGGATTTGTTCAGTAGACTTTGGTACACATGCTATGTATATAATAGGGAACTTCTATGAACTATTTTTTAAAATTGCATACAAAAGTCATATAAAAGTTATATGGAAGGTTAAGGAGTGGATTTCAGCACTTCAGCTAGATAGACTTAAAATATATACTATACACATGCTCTGGCATATACCAGGCCATAACTTCATATTTTGAAAACTTTACAATTCTATCTGAGATGTTTAGTCCCCTGCAATTTCCTTAAGCATCATTTAAATATTTTTACAAACATATTTTTCTAGGAATTTGAGTATTACACCATTAAGAGAAGCATAGTTTCATTTTGTGAGCCAGTCTGGTGGAAAGAGCATCGGGTTTAAATTTGTGGGTACACCAGTGCTGTCACTCACAGGCTTAAAAAGTAATTTACCCCTCCTGGACTCTCATCTTACACCTGTGCAATAGGTATAGCAGTAATTACCGTAGAAGATTGTTAAAGGATGAAATAACAGAACATAGGTGGAAAACTTTGGAACACCGCCTGCCGTACTGTAGGCATTGACTCTGTCCCCTTCAAGGGATAGGATCACGTCTCATTAATACATTTTTTAATCACAACAGCTAGCAAATCATCAAACTTACAGTTCATCTCAATAAGTATATGTCTAAAAACTACAGTTTCTAATTTTATTCATGTAACAGAAGAAAGACAATTTGGAGCAAAATGATTTTGGGGAAAGCATATCAACATTCCAACAATATATCATGCTTTAACAAATTTGTCACATCTGAGGCAGATTTCTAGCTTCCGTACTTAAGGATGTGAGTTGATCCTCTTAAGAGTTCTTCCTCTATTTAGATGGTAGAAAATCATAGTTATTTATTTTAACTGAGAGAAAGATGGGAATTCTACAATTATCTAACTTAGTGCTAAGCAATAACTTTTTATAAAAAGTAGAATCTGCCTATAAAGCCAATCAGTATGTGTTTATTTAGTAATGAAATGCCAAATTCATGGACGTTCTTAGAAAGTACCATGTTAAAAAAATGAAACAAAACGACTATTTTCATAGCTATGAGCCTTTCCTGCTTATAGTTGAGACAGAATTTCTCTCCTATCTATTCAATGACCTAAATGTCCACTGCTGTTCCAAGCCTTTGATTCTTTTCCCAACTCTGGTTCACTGCACTTTTCAGAACTCTCCCACCAACTGCCCCAACTGGCCATGAGGGAGAGTTCTATCTGTGTCCAGTATGCTAGCTAAACTGATCATAGGTACAGCACATGCACTGCGTCCACACTTATTCACATGTGCAAGATTGAAAGTGATCAAGTTGATCTCCTGTAAAGATTTAGCTAAATAGGAATTAATAGTATGTTTTCACATGAATATAATCAACTACCTATTTTATGCTTGAAGATGCCTGTTGATGAGACAGCCCATTGTAATGTCAGAGAAGTCCAATTCGTAGGAAGTATTTTCCTGTCTGTAACTGTAAAGTAGTTTCCTAAAACTTGCATGTGACTCCTCTATCTAGTTTTGACTTCCAGAGGAAAAGAGCTAAAATTTAAATCATTATCCGTGTGCAAAATTTATGAATGAATATTTCCATTCTTGACAGTGTTAAGAGGAAAGGTCAGACTGTCATACTGTCAATGAGAAAGAAAACAAACCCAGGGAAGGCTTAGTCTCCAACAGCATTGCTCTGAATTGTTCAGACAGGCACAAATGTGTGTAGCAGGAGACAGAAGCAAGATGCCAATTGAGAAGGATCTGGTAATGCATAGTCTTTTGTAATTGTTTTTCCCCTGTAACCTGTACAAGTGAAAACTATCAGCTTGCATGCTAGAGAACTCAGTGTGGCAATAAAAAAGAAATTATAATAATTTATGGGTAATTTCCATATTCACAATAACTAACATGCATAATATTAAATGCATTTCATAAACTATGTGGTAAAGTCTGTGTGATTACAATACTAGGCTTTATCCCATAAGCTCAGTGTTTCACTGCTGGTATAATGAGATCATTGGCTATCAATTTAATGGCCCTAATTAAAGCATAAATAGCTTGCCTATCTGGCTTTATTTTGAACAGAAAAATTCCATCTCTTTCTAACATTTTTCTGGTTCTGCTCCTGAGATATCCTCTACCCAGATATTTTCTAGTTCTGTGGCTACTGAGGTATCCTAGAGCTCACCAATGTGATCCATCCCCCAAAAGAAACAGACCTGTCTTTCCCCAGTACAATCATTTCTTTGACTCCTGTCATCTACTCTCTTTAAGCCATGAAACTGCCTTGACTACTTTTACTATATACTCTGATTTTTCATCAACTTTGTATAACATACTATGAAATACAAACCCTCAGCAGGAAATTGAACAGAACTTTCACCTGGATGAAAAAACTGAGTATCATCTAAACCTTCTAAACCTAATGAAAACCCCTAAACACACGAAAAGATAAACCTCACCTCTGTTTCCAGGAACCTTCTCAAGGCTCTTTTCTTTTTGATGCTCTTCCTTCTAACATAAACTGCGAATGTTAGAGCCATGATGACCATGATGAAGAGCCCGCCGATAACTCCCGCTGCAATTAGAGGAGTCCTGCCAAGCAGAAGGGCAAAAACAGGCGTGAAGGGAGAAAAGGCCCGGACATTGTCCACACGCCACAATCTAGTCAGTGAGAAGTAATGCAAAGAAAAATGCACTCGCACTGGAACAAAACTTTTCTCATGGTAAAAACTGTAGTTGTTTTTTGTTTTGTTTTTTAATAATAAACCATGCACATACAAGTAATCTTCAGAGATGAGCAGTCACAACATGCCATTTGATGAAAATATGTAAAACTTGGTAACACAGTGAAAAATGTGTCAAAATGTTGATATAGAAGAATTTTAAATTTACGTTTATCTATAAATAAATGGAAATACATTTTAATTATATTGTGGTGGTATATAACATTATTTTCAGCATTTTCTCTAAAGCAAGCTTTCTCAACAGTGGCACTATTGACATTTGGGGCAAGCTTTCTCAACAGTGGCACTATTGACATTTTGGGCTTGATGTGGGGAACTGTCCTATGCATTTTAGGATGTTTGGCGGCAACCTTGGCCTCCATCGACTAGATGCCAGTAACACTCCTGTCCTCCAGTCATGACAAGGTCTCTAGACATTGCCAGGTGTTTGCCAAAATCATCACCAGGTGAGAACCGCTGCTCTCAAGTGAAAATGAGTGGTCTGAAGACATACAAACCCCACACCTCCAGAGTACGAGGGTACCAATAAGAGAGATGCATTGACAAGCATGCTGTTTCAGACTTTGGCAAGGGCAACTTTGATGGGATAAAGGGCAGGAGAAAGACTAAGAATTAGGTCAGACAGGTTTTCAGTTATGATAACAGGAATAAATATTATTATCAAAACTTCGTCTAAGCATCATATACTCATAAAAAAGGTCTACACCTTATGTACATTATGTATCACATAAAAAGGTGTAAATCATACCAAAAAGGGATTAGGAAGAGATTGACTGGAGATTTTTATTCTTAAAATGTTTCTGTAATATATTGCTAATTAAGATATAATTTTGAAGCTGAGCACATTGTTTTCCAAGATAAATCTTTTCTTTGCTTGAAAAGTAACATTTACAGTCTTAACTCCTCATTTTAGAGTCGAGTAGTATCTATGAGCTTTCTTGTCAGAGCCCTAAAATATATTAATTTCATGTGCCATGGCAAATAGCCTAGAGGAAAACACATAGGTGTTACCTAATACATATTTGACCATGAAGTCGTAATAGGTATCAAAACTAAAAAAGAAATCCCTGAATGTCTACGCTTTCCACAGTAAGCATTTTATATCTTATATTTCTATTTTCAGAAGTATCTACTCTATACAACAGCTACATTCTTTAGGAAAAAAACCTACTTGCTCTTGCAAAATGAACTTTTGCTCAAAGACAGATCAGAAATAATGATGGCAGATGATCCTAAATAAATTTTCAAAGTTTTAAAGAGGTTTTGAAAAAATTTGTGTAACTTCTATAAATGAAGCTATGTCTTTTAAACATTATGACTGTTATATTGTCGTATAAAACTGCAGAAAAACCTTATAAAGTAGTTCACCTAAAGGTTGTTTCCTGACAGCTAAAAGCACCATAGCATACTGAAATGTTGCTATAATTCAGCCAGATTTTCCTAAATGGAATCTTCTAGAGTCCAAAAATCTATGCTGAGAAAATTAAACTATAATATGAACACACACTCATCATTGTGATGTGTTTTGGTGTGTGTAAGATCATATTTTTGAGCATACCAGTAAATTTGTATTTCAGAAAATATTTTAAGTTTTTAACCCAATGTATAATTTCAGCTCAAGTGCCTAACATTTCCCTGAAAAGCCACTACTATAAAAAGGGCTGTATTTTTGTTTCCTCACCTCAATTTTTTATTGCAAAGATCTATGTATGACTGAGGATAGTTTCCAACACTTTGTGGATTGTAGATTTGAACCAAACTCTAACCTATCTTTGCCTACCTATTTTGAAAAAGAATAACTGGTGTATATTTATGAAAATAATGTCAATGTTGCCATAAATTAAAAGAAAATGCTATATTTTGTGGGGTTTTTGTTTATTTTTTATTTTGAGGAGGATTACTTCCAATATAACAAAACAAAACCCTGTCTCCATTCTCTTCATCTAATTCAAGTGGATATCAATTTTCATGTCATTACTTCTTAGTTTGGTCATGACAATGAAAAGAAAACATTCAAAAACTAAATAGACAGTAACTTCTATGTTGTATTTACTTTCGATAGTTCCCACAGCAGTTCTTTAGATGATCTTGACTTCTTTACCTTGTTTCTTCTCTTACCACTCTGCAGGAATGGTAGTGGTACAAACAACCTGAAGAAGTAAAGAACTAGAGTTTCTACACCTAAAAATCACACATAAATGTTTTGTTGGGCATTTTAAGAGGACAGTTTCTTCATATTCCAGCAGAATTTACTCTTAAAAGCAAACATTAACTACGATGAAGAAACAAGTCAAATCAAGAAGGTGCAACATTCTATAAGACAACTTGAAATTTCTCTTTAATTAGCGCCTATCGTGAAAAAAGATACTGGCTTTGATTAAGAAGACTTAGTCATAACAACCAGATGTTAAATGCAATCCTGGATTGGATCCTAGTTTGGACAAACCAGCAGTACAAATATTTTTGAGATAACTTGAGAAGTTTGAACATGAATTAGGTAGTAGATGAGATGAAAATTTATTGCCATGGAAAGACATGGATTAGAAATTGAAATGATTGGGTTATGAAACAGTAGGATTTCAATCAGGGAAAAATTCATACACATACACAGACACACACACATGTATGTGTGTAAAGAGATCTGGAGTAATATACAACAAGACACTAAACAGCAGTTGTTTCTGGCTAGTATGACTATGAGGGTCTTATTTTTGTATTCTACTAATGGCCATTTTCTGCAATATATTTATTTTTGTTTTGAAATAAAAGTTTAGTAAATTCATGAAAAAATAGATCATTGACTAAAAGTTTAGGTTTATAATAATGGCCTTGTTTTTTTTTTTTTTTTTGAGTGTTTAGTTTACATTTTTTCAGTTAAGATTTCATTTTTCTATTCCTTGTCCACTTTTACAATCTGAATACTTCTGCATATATTTTGTATTCATTATGTTTAATGTGTCTGAGATATTTAATTACCACTATGTTTCTTACAGTTAGCATTATGTTTCATAAAACCAAGCTAATCTGAACATTAATACTACTTCCACAGTCCCACTCCTCCCAATTTTGATAATTCCTAGATATTTGTAGGAGTAGGATAGGTGCCCATTTTTTCCTGGGTCTTAATGCTTCATTCTTTATGAGGACCCTTTGGATGAAGAGGATGTAGCTACTTAAGTTGCTTCTTCAAATTACTATATATCCTGCCTAGGTCTAATGCTGGCTATTGCCAACTCAGCTACATTTCTAAAAGAGAGTGTTGCTCTTATATGTGAGTCAGAGGAGCCTCCAAGAGGCTGAGGGATGACACAAATAATGAGATCATAAGGATTAAACACCAAGGAACCTAGAATGCTCTGTAATCCCTCATCTGTAACAGGAGTATTGCTTGTTTGCTGTCTTTTGTCTGTTCATTAAAAACAGTTGGGACCCCCTAAAGTATAAAAGATAGGACACTTCAAGTGCCAAGTCCACGCTTAGACTAAAAGGATGCAATTAATTGATAGTTTACCTTATTCTGTAATTTGAAAATAGTATAATGAAGCTGATATCCTCCCACTACCCACAGAAGCTAATATAATAAGGATCCTGAATCACAAATGAACTTGGCTAATTTATTTAAAAGCTCATAATTTCGTTTTCACAATTTCATTTAGAGGTTCATAGACAACAGTGTATTATATTCTATTGCCTTGAATGTAATGACTTGTCTAAAACAATTATATATAAAAGCGTAATGTCTCTCAAAACTACATTACTCATATAATAAGATACATTCTTATTAATCATTACTATATTTGAACCATGCTGTTCCTCACTGGGGAATATAAAATGTGAGAGAATACATGGAACCTGATTTTATAAACATCCAAATATTTTCCTTCATTGATCTACTTCCTTCCAGAGATCAGGTCACAAACAAGATGTAGTAAAGTCAATGTAATTGACGATTAGAACTCAAAGGTTCTAAAACTATTCTACCTTTTTCCACTTAATGTCAAGGGCAGGCATGCTACTAAAAATGTACAGTAGTGCTTCTTTAAAACTGTAAACTTGGTAAAACTGGTATTTGCCTAACACAGTCATTGCAAAGAATGCTAAATCTATGAGATTCTTTTATAGGTGTTTCACCAAATAAAATGATTTTAGATTTATAATATAGGTATATTTTTCTTCATTTCCTGAATACGGAATAATTTTCACTTACAGGAAACAACCTGAATCCTATAACACACAGATGGTATAATTTGCAACTATCAGTATTGACTTGAAATCAGAGAGCTCCACTTCTAGAAACTTCTAAGTTAAGCAATTTGAAGATGAGACTTCAGGATTTGTTGGATCAGATTAGAGCTGTTTCACTGTTTATCTTTGGGCACTAAAGGTTAAACTGAATTTTTTAAAATTTACACAGGAGGTAAAAACAAACAAAAACAACAGACTAGTCAGTAATTTTAACAGGGTAATTTTGTAAAACAAACTTTAGGGAAGACGGTAAAATAGTGCCTCTAAGATTATTAGTTTGTGTTTTCTTTTCAAATCTGCATGATCGTTTCCTTATAGGGGCATACTGTGCCGGAAAGATACCATGGAGTCAGACCACTCTGAGTTTTAATTTATGTGCCTCCCTCTAAATGGTTGTAAGTACAGTGTCTCTATCAAATAACTCAGCATAACTATACATAAATACATTCTTCACCTAAGGTAATAAAAAATAAACACAACAGGGGACCACCTAGTCTTTCTTAAATTTCTGAGGTCTGCTGACTTTGCCTCTAGAGCCTGCCTAGTTACTCGCATTAAATCAGACCCTTGGAGCATTGGTGCCTCACATTCCTCACTTTGGCC